CGCCGATGACATCGATATAATGGGTCGAACATTGCGAGCGGTAACAGCCACCTTTGAACAAATTGAAAAGGAGTCTGCCAAAGTGGGTCTGGCAGTAAACGGCGAGAAGACCAAGCTGATGGTATCAACGCGCAAGACGTCCAGTAGACTCGGACCAACTGTGGAACTTGAAAACTACAGCTTCGAGGTAGTTAAAGACTTTATATACCTTGGTACCGCCATAAATAAAACGAATGATATCAGTTTTGAAATTCGGAGAAGGATTGTGATGGCCAACAGATGCTACTATGGTCTAAGTAAGCAGTTTAGAAACAAGGCCACCTCTCGCCAGACCAAACTCACACTTTACAAGACGCTGATACTACCCGTGCTATTATATGGATCAGAAGCATGGGTACTTGCGCAAGCAGATGAGGCAGCTCTTGGGGTGTTTGAGAGAAAAATTCTCCGAAAGATCTACGGGCCGATCTGCGTCGACGGTGAATATCGGCGTCGAATGAACCACGAGCTCTACAATTTATACGCAGACATCGACATAGTCAGTCGTATTGAGCTGCAGCGACTACGGTGGCTAGGCCATGTTGTGCGGATGAATGAAGAAGCCCCAGCTCAAAAGGCATATAAAAATGAGCCTACGGATGGTTCCCGTAGAAGGGGAAGGCCACGAATTAGATGGAAAGACCAAGTAGAAAACAACATCTTGGAACGTGGTCTTCCAAATTGGTGGACTTGCGCACAAGACCGACGCGCTTGGAAATCTTTTTTAAGCTCGGCTTATGGAACAACCGTTCTGTAACAAGCCAGCTAAGTAAGTAAGTAAGCTGGGATTAAAAATGAAAGAAAGTGGTAACATGTTGCAACATCTGAATGAATTTGTTGAAATTTCGGAAAAATTAGCTGAAATTGGGATACCGATCCAGGAGGAGTTACTAAGTATCATTCTTCTGACAAGCCTTCCAAGACAGTTTGACAATTTCGTTGTGGCAATAGAAACTAGAGACAAATTGCCAAGTTTCTTATCGTTAAAGCAGAAACTGATGGAGGAAGCCGAGAGAAAATGCCACGTTGAAGATGACGAATTTCATGGGCAACAGATTTTTGCTGCAAAAACGAATAGCCGTCGAGAAACAACTGAGGGGAATAAATCGAAAAATAAATTCCAGGGAAAGGGATGCAGTAAGAAACAATTTAAAGGGAAATGCTTCTCTTGTGGCCAATTTGGGCATTATGCTAACAAATGCGAAACAAATCAGAAGAGGGATAAAACTAAATCATTTACGATGTTAGCTGTTGCTGAAGCTGGAAGACTGAATAAAGCATTATGGTATTTAGATAGCGGTGCAACTGCACACATGTGCAAAGACAAAGGCATGTTTTCTACTTTTGAGGAACACGAAGAAAAAATTATATTGGCCGGTGATAATTTTTTGAGAGCAGTTGGAAGAGGTGATGTTTTAATCAAAACAAAAGAGAGCGAGTTCAAACTGAAAAATGTGCTCTATTCACCGGAACTACAGGCAAATTTTATTTCAATCAGTAAGGCAGTGAACCAAGGATTAAAAGCAATATTTACTCAAGAATGTGCTATAATTAAAACAAAATCCAATGACATTATATTGAAGACTCCAAAAATCGATGATATGTTTGTTCTGGAAAATCATCAGGAAAGGATATTTATTATGACTGAAACCCTTTGGCATAATCGGTACGGTCATTTAAATCACAATAGTTTGAATGAGCTCAGTTCTAAAGAAATGGTAAAAGGTATGAAAATCGTCCAAAATTCAAATAATTCTAATTGCAAAAGTTGTATGCTGGGAAAAACCCATACGCTACCATTCCCAAAAGAAAGTACGAGTTCAGCAAAGGAAATATTGGAAGTCATACACAGTGATGTTTGTGGTCCGATCGGATGTCCATCACTTGGAGGTTCTAAATATTTCTTAACTTTCATAGATGATAAATCTCGGAGAATTTTTATATATTTTTTGAAGTCAAAGGATGAAGTTATGGGTAAATTTAAAGAATTTCAAATGCAAGTTGAGAGACAAACCGGTAACAAAATCAAGGTACTTCGGAGTGACAACGGTGGTGAATATGTCAACAAGGATTTTAATGAGTATCTAAGGAACAATGGCATTCAAAGACAGTTAACAGTTCCTTATAGTCCTCAGCAGAACGGAGTGGCAGAACGTGCCAATAGAACTCTGGTGGAAATGGCAAGAACTATGATGTTGCATGCAGGTGTGGATGACAATTTATGGGCAGAAGCAATAATGACTGCAGCTTATTTGCGAAACAGATGTCCCACAAAGATTCTTAAAGATAAGACGCCTTATGAAGTATGGCATGGAAAGAAACCTAATGTAAGTCATTTCCGAACATTTGGTTCTTATTGTGTAGCTTTGAATAAAACCCATAAGAACAAGTTCGAAAAGAGGGGAGAAGAATACATTATGGTGGGTTATTCATTAGTCTCAAAAGCTTATAGACTATATGATGTCAAACAAAGAAAGATAATTGAAAGAAGAGATGTTATTTTCGACGAGGAAAAATTTCAAGTAGACGACAAGGAAATGCCAGTGGTAGAATGTTTCGAATTCTATTTGCCACAAAATCAACCTGATCAAAATTTAAATATCGATGGTAGTCAGCATGAAAACGTCGATCAGCAGTTGCAAGATATTTTAGAATACGGGAGTAACGATGAACATTTTGGTACAGCAACTGAAAATTCAAGTTCCGACGATCAAGCAGTGGTATCAGGAAAGCGACCTGGAAGACCGAGGATAATGCGAACAGGAATGCCCGGAAGACCCAAAAAGGTATACAATATGTTAAATCGTATGACAATCGAAAACATACCACAGACCTTTGAAGAAGCGATGGGTAGTGAAAACGCAAAGAAATGGCAAGATGCAATGGAAAGAGAACTTAATTCTTTAAAGAAGAACAATACTTGGGAAGAGGTCGAACTTCCGCCGAAGTGTAAAGCAATTTCGTGTAAATGGGTGTTTGCACTAAAACGAAACAAACATGGGGAGGTGGAAAGGTATAAAGCTCGTTTGGTAGCGAAGGGATGTAGCCAAAGATATGGGATCGACTACAAAGAGACGTTCTCTCCAGTGGTAAGATATGCTACTTTAAGAATGCTATTGGCTATTGCAGTACAAGAGAAAATGTACTTGCACCAAATTGACGTAATAACAGCTTACCTTAATAGCGAATTACAAGAAGACGTGTACATGGTACCCCCTGAAGCTTCAGAAGTTAACAACGATAAAGTTTTGAAATTGAAGAAGGCAATTTATGGATTAAAACAATCAGGACGAGCATGGAATGAAAAATTAGATACTGTGTTGAAAAATTTTGGATTTACATCATTCGAAAATGAGCCATGTTTGTATAAATTGAAGAATAACAACGAAATTATATTGGTGGCAGTGTATGTTGATGATATCATCGTAGCATGTAAAAATGAGCAACAAATTCTTCAAATAAAGGCGATGATAGCAGAAGAATTCGATATCAGTGATAAGGGACGATTGCAATATTTTCTTGGTATGCAGATTGAACGGAAGGATAATACGGGTTCTATAAAGTTAAGTCAAGTTCAATATATTGAGGATATGCTAGACCAATACGAAATGAAAGGATGCAAATCGTCGTCAGTACCATTGACAGCGGGATATCAAGTTCAATGTAATGCAAATTGCAAGAAAGCCAATCAACATGAGTATCAGTCATTAATTGGGTCATTAACTTATCTCGCAATTACTACGCGCCCTGATATTCTACATTCTGTGAATAAATTAGCACAAAGAAATGCTGATCCACATGCGGAACATTTAGTAGCAGCAAAGAATATTCTACGTTATCTGCCGGGAACTGTAAATTATAAGTTGGTATATAAAGCTGGCCAGAAAAATGTATATGGATATGCGGATGCTGATTGGGGAAGTAGTACGAGTGATAGAAAGTCATATACAGGATATATATTTTATCTCAATGATTGTCCTATATCCTGGGAGAGCAAGAATCAAACGACTGTGGCTCTTAGCAGCACTGAAGCTGAGTATGTGGCGATGTCGAATGCTGCAAAGGAGGCAGTATACTTAAGAAGGTTGTTGAAAGAAATGGAGTACATAAGTGGCGATCCAGTAATATTAAATGTCGATAATCAAGGAGCTTATAAGTTAGCGCAAAATCCAGTTTTCCATAATCGAACGAAGCATATTGATATAAAATTTCATCACGTTCGAGAAGTTGTTCGGAATAAAGAAGTGGAGCTAAAATATTGTCCAACTAATGATATGGTGGCGGATATATTTACGAAGAATTTGTGTAAAATCAAACATGCTAAATTTGTTAATTTAATTGGTATATCTTATGATTAGTTAATGTTAATTGTAATGGAACATCCATGTTGAGGAGGAGTGTTGAATAACTTGTTTGTAATCTACTCCAACATGTATGTTTTATATTTTGTGTTTTGACCTAAGTAGGCTTTGAAATAATATTGTGAAATTTTTCTTATTCTTAAATATGTATTGTAAATAGTTTTTAGTCAGTCAATAAAACGATTCAAAACCTAACAAAATTGTGAGGATACATGTGTAGAATATATCCAAAGTGGTGAAGGGTATCACATAATCGTTCCAGCCCGACTTTACTATTCTCCTTACTGGTTAGAATTGTTTTACCCCATACTCATACACGCAAATCTTGACCTAGGTGCGTTCATCTTGAAACATTTATCTGGGTTTTTATTAAAAGTCCGTTTGATATCAACTACCAATTCTTTAATGCATAAATTTTTAAATCAAAATGAAAATCATTTCGATTTACATTTGATGTAGTCAAGAAAGACATTTAGAATGACCAACCGTCTTCACATAACCCTTACACTCGATTTAAAATAAAAACTGATGTAGAATGTGATTTAGTTCTTTATTTATTCGAAATTATATATTTTGAAATAAAATATTTACATATATTTTTTATTTCTTTACATACATTGTTCTCAACAATGTGAAAAACTTATAGGACATCTGTATAAGCTATAGAAAAATAAAACAAATGTAGTGATTGATTTATATTAATATTGCAAATAAAAAATATTATTTACAAAACCCAATCTTACCACCGCCATTGTTTCCTGTGAAATCCATATAAAAGTGGTAGCTTTCAGCTGGGCCGGTCTCTGGGCCCGTTTAGACATTAGTATCAACATTTTCTGACATTTAACATCACTTCGCAACCAGTCGCTGGTAAAAACTGCTGTCGATACATTGAGACTCTTAAAAAATAATTGAACAATTTCATATATATGGGGGAAATGTTTAAAATATTTTTTTTAATTACCGCATCCATTAAAGCTTGCCCCGAGTAACATATCAAAGCCGATTCAATAAGCATTGTGAGCAGGAAAATTAGTAGTTTGAAGAGGCTAAGAAACGAGGTGCCAATTGTCATCAGAAATCCCACTAAGCAAATTACCACCGAGGCTGAGGCGAAATGGACAAACAGCAGTAAACCAAATATATCATTCAAACGTTCTGAAAGGCTGTAAAAAATAGAAGTAGAATTAAGAAGTAACCTGTAAGGAGAGGACAATAGTCGAAAGGGCAGTTTGATGCATCATTTACATATATAGGAATATCAAAATCTTAACAAATTTCAACAAAACTCAAAAACACCAATCATTCTACTCTCAATTTGGTACGCTGTACAAATGTGGGTCTCAATCGGAAAAACATTGGGACTGGGGTTTATATGGGTATAGGTATATATGGGAGCTATATCTAAACCTGAACTGATGTTTTTTTCTATTTCGATAGACCTACATTTTTTTTAATATAGACACCCTATCGCCCTGGCTTTCAACTCGTTTATAAAATGCTTTAGACCTTCAACTTCTCTGTAAAGCACAACTTGGCTGCTTGTTGTATATAAGCGAAGCCATTCCTCATTTCAACCATTAAGACTCACTGGGCTTATGTTTATCTATAAAACCTTCCCGATCTACACCTCACCTATGAAAACCCCAATTCATAGGCTTCCTGGGCTCAGATCGTCCATAAAGCCTGCTTGGCCTTCAGCATGTCTATACAGCCTCCCTTCACTTCTATGAAGTCCCAGTTGATTTGAGATCGTCTATAAAACTTGACTAGGTGTCAAATCTGTTATAAAGCCTGTCTAGCTTACAGATCGCTCCATCGAAAGCTCCATCGCCTTAATGTCCCTTATGAAGCCTTTTGACATTCAACATGAGTAATAATTTTTTACCCAACAAGAACCTCTTTATACCAATTTTTTGCCACCTCGGTAGAAAAATATGCTTAGGACCATAAATCTCTATATGGAGGTTATATCAAAGAATGAACCCATATAGAAAATTGTCTGCAAATATGTTTTTTACCCACGAAAAACCCGGAATGTCACATATCTGCCACTTCGTTTTAAGAAATGCGTTTCATAGCCAAAATATGTACTTATTTCCAATAAGAATTCAAAATACCATTGGACAGTCACTTCGTTTTTAAATGCGCCAAGGACCATCAAAATACCTTAAATGGGAAAGGATCTGTATATGGAGGCTATAATAGAACGAAATTATTGTACATAAATTATTTGCACCCCTTCTGAAACCGTAATGCCACATTTCAGTCGCTTCGGTGGGAGCATACCACTAAAACTAGCAATCGGACGAAAATATATATGGGAGCTTAATCTAAATCTGAACCGATTTTCCCAATTTCAATAGGGTTCGTCCTTGGGCCAAATAAGTGACCTATGCCAACTTTCATCCAAATCGGATCATAAATGCGACCTGTACGTTGTTTACAATTTAACATGGACAGACAGGCAGATGGACAGACGGACGGACTGACATGCATAAATCGACTCAGAAAGTGATTCTATGCATATTCTAAAAAGGAACCATATCATATACCATACCATATCTATCACGTTTCCTTTTGCCTGTTACAAACATATGCACAAAGACATTATACCCTTCTCCACAGTGTAGTGAAGGGTATAATAATGGACCAATATATCCAACTTCCAACATCGATCATCCTAGTAGTGGTAGCAATGTCTATGCTAAATTTCAAAACTCCTTCTCAAATATTGCGAACTCTGTGGGGATTATAACAGAGGGACTTACTGACAGACGGATTATTCCGATTAAGTATGAGATCACTGGTGTTGAATATTTCGAATTTTTGCAAACGGAATGAAAAATTTCATATACACTTCACATTAGGGAGGTGGGTAGGAATTTAAAAATACCACTGCTTCGATTTAAAAATGTGAAAGAGGGACAATCAGACCCTCCACCTGATGTTGAAGGTTATACAATTTGAGGGTATTACATTTTACCAGCTTAAAGAATGTCCATACTTACCTCAACAATTTACTGTGATACTCAATGAAGTACTTGACAACCTCCATATCCGATTTCCGATTTTCCACCTCTCCAATTGTAAATTTGTCCACCCTCCCCTTTATTTTATAGCCCTTCATGCTCTTGGCCACAAAATCAAAATGCATTATTATTTGTGATATCAGAGCATACAGCAACAAATCATTCGACAAAGTCCCCATGGCTGAGGTGTGACCTGCAAAACTTGTCATCCCATATAGCAAATAATATGACCAATGATTTCGCCAATTCCATGGTGTATAAATAAAATATGGCAACTCCTGTACGGGTTGTGGGTCCTCCAGAATTTTCGATGTAACTTCATACTTCATTAAGGCCAGTAAATTGAAAAACCAAATTGCCAGAAAATACCAATATGACATCAGTTTTGATAGGCTATGGCACTTTCTTAAATAAAAATCCACATGATATGATCTCTGCGATTCCTCTTCGTGCGGAAATATTGTCCGTAAATCACGTATGAAATTATCGATTAGCGGTCGTTTATGCCATATCATGAAAACTTTCCAACAGGCATTCATCACGAAACCACTGTATGCCATTGACATGAGGAAATCCGGTGTATTCACCACCCCCGATGGCGCCAGGGAGGAGAAGAGTAGATTCAATATTTCACCAAATGTTATTAAATATAAATTATACGAATTTAAATAAAATACAAGATTTCTTAAATATTTTCTATAACGCGTTTCCAATTTCTTTTTACCACACGCTTCAATGCCAATTGTGGCATAGACGAAATCGACATAAACGAAAAATTTCTCAAATAGACCGGAATAAGGCATTTTTTCAATTGGAAATTGTATTAACGCCGATTTTTACAGATGAACAATACTTGTTGTTTCGATTGTTGATTTCAAACTAAATTCTAGAATTGAAAATTAACAGAAAAGTTAAAAATTTATTTTACGAGTATAAATTTTTAACTTTTCTGTTAACCTTAACATTAAATTTAAATTTTATTTTAGTTGTTGTATTCTATGAAAAACTTTTCGTGATGTTAGAAGTTGTTGTTTGCTTCCCGTATGCATGGTAATAATGGTATTTGGGCATTGTCAATTAATTAATTAGTCTTAATATAGAAATTAGTTTTGTAGTTGAAGGCCACCGGAGAATCAAATGTATTTTCCGGGTTTATTTCTATTAAAATTCTACATATTTGTTTGAAATAAAATGCCGATATATGAAGAATTTTTCAATTTCCCAATAACCAACAACTAACCTCTTTCTAAAATGGTAAGGTAAGTGCTCCCAAATACAAGCGTAGATTTTTTTTCAAAATAATATTTTTTGAAGGCCATACAAGGCGTCAAGTTGTAATTCTTAAATTTAGAGTTAGGATCACTGTTGGGGTGAAGTTTTGTAAATTTATAC